ACATTTGGGATCGTGAAGTATGGTGGTGTGACCCCAGAAATCCCGGTGAATCTCGGCCGCCGCTCTTGATCGTTGGTTCTGAGCTTCTGGCCGGGGAGACGCATTTATGGCCTGGATAACCAATATCTCAGGCTGTCAGAATTCTTGTGAGAATGTCCACGTCTAATCACTCTGATCCTCATCACCAAATCCTGACTTCAGTCACTTCCCACCTTCCCTCATGCATTAAATGCTTCTTTGTGGCCAGTGGGTTTGCTGCATTAAACAGGCACTACTTCATTAAATGAAGCCTGGGACCCTGCTGTCACGTGATGATTTGCCTTTAATGCCTTGGCCGTGATTTTGTTCGGCCTCGGCCTCGGCCTGCGCTTGAGGCCGAGATGATCATGCCTTAGCATTTCTTCTTTTGTCCTTAGGAAGGCGAAGTACCCTGGCGAAACGCTGCGTTTCAAGTTTTACGAACAAGTGCCAGGGCCGAGAGAAGGGGCTCCTTCGGCCAGCTTATGGCCGTGATTTATCAGGCACAAACAGTAAGTTACACCTATCTCTATCTGTTCAGTTTTGGTGCCAACAATTTAAAAACAACAAAAGATTTTTACTTATTAAATCATGCAACTGGAGCAGGAAATTTTTTGGCAAAACAAAAATGAATTACAGTACAGATAAGGAAATAAAGATAGAGTGAAGAATTGTTGTGAAAATGGACAAACACTTTCACTCACTCCCCTAATGATCTTGTTGTTGATGGACTTTGTGACAAACAAAATAATGGATGAATCACACACACACACACTTGAGAAACCAACCAAGCACAAAGTGACACAAGAATTTATAGAGGTTCAGCAATTGCCTACATCCTCTTGGTGATCCCCTTGAGAAATTCACTAATGAAAGAATAAGTTACAACTTTGGTTTACAAAGAAACCCCCTTAGAACTCTATTCTCTCCCAAGCTCTCTTTTCTCTCTCACCCCTTTGCTCAACACTTTGATGCACTTGTGAACACTCTCTCACACTTGGTGTTTCCCTTCTTTGGTGTCTAGACTACTCAAGACTCAACTCAGCTCTCTCTTGAACTGATTGCCTTCTCTCTCTTCCTCCCTTGGTGAGATAACCTCCCTTTGAACACAATAGCTCCCAGCTACTTGACAACTTTGAGATTAACCACTCTAGTTGTCTTGCATCTTCTTTTCCTTTTGTAGGCAGACCTTTGGACTTAGTAGAGGACTACAATTACTCCTTCACGTTCTTGCTTTCAGCTACTCACCTAAACACAAGGTTAGGCAAACCAGAAAACAAGCCATAAAGCATGCACCCTTTGTCCCCTTGTCTCCCACCTAGAAAACCCTTTGGTACAAGACAACAAACAACATTTAAATGGTGTTCCAGCTTCTAAGGCACGTTGCCAAACTTCCTAGAACCCATAAAACTCTTGGAAGCTCGAGGGATTAGGTAGGGAACCAACACATGTGAAATGCACCTTGAAAAACGCATGGAAAAACGACACAGCACGTCTGGCGACCGGTCGCACGTTCCTGGCGACCGGTCGCATTGCAATCTGTCTGAAAGCGACCGGTCGCTTGCACCTTGCGATCGGTCGCTGGTCACGATTTCCAGCTTCTCCTCCAGACTTCGAATCTGCTTCAAAACGACCGATCGCAAATACCCAGCGACCGGTCGCCTCTTCCTTCACTTGCATACTAAATGTGAGCCAATTTTACAACAAGAATACCTACAAACAAAGGACAAGTCATCCAATATTGATATTGATAGAATAGAATTGGAATATTAATTTAATGTCGCTCTAAAGACTCAGTCAGCAACACTCTTTCATCTTTTTTGGACTGAAGCTTTTTTTTTCCTTTTTTTTTGGACTGAAGCTTATCTTTTTTGGACTAATATAATTTTGACAGATATGAATTAAATTAAGAACCTGCGGCTTCAATTCAAAGTCAATAATGTACAGCTTCAATACATAGACTGGTTGGTTGGGAAGTTGGAGAGTCCATCCAAAAGATATAATTTCATGTACGGCTTGAATGGCGATTCCTAATTCATTCTAAGAGGGGATTAGACTATAAAGTGAGTGGTGGAGAATAATAATTTTTTTTCAGTCCTTCAAGGTCTACTCTATCTTTCTCTGTGTATAAAAAGCTGCTGTATTTTTGTATGCACCAATACTCTCCTCACAAATCCATCTTTCATACACACACAATCGTACGGTGCCTCTTCATTCAAAAGCTCTCATTTTGGGCACTGTTTTCCTCTTCAATTGTGGAAAGGTGTCCAATAGAAAATTAATTGATGAATATGTCCTTCTTCCCTCGACTTTTTCTTCATTATCTCTTGGTGGTTTGCTTTGCCAATTTTGCTTTTGGAGCTACTCGGTTGCCACGAGATGAAGGTATACGTATATATATAATCTTAATATCTATGTCAAATTTCTTCCTTAATCCCCTTTGTTCATCTTATAATTATGTACAACGTAGGTAGAAGCTTTCAATAATAAGATGTTTGGATTCATGACTTTGTAGTTCTTGTATTTAGAGATTAATTTTTCTACATATATTCTAATATATATATGGTACTAATTGTATGAATTTGTAGATATTGAGTATCGAGCAAGGTGTTAAATTGTTGCATTTTGTTTTATATATATGTAGTACAAACTTTAGCTGACATAGCAAAGACATTGGGGAAGACGAACTGGAGTTTCAGTGGAGATGCAGATCCATGCAACCATATTAAACCATGGAACGATACCAATGCGGGCGAAGGATCTGATGGCGTCACCTGTGATTGTTCCTTTGCCAGTTCTACTGTCTGCCATATTACCACCATGTAAACCTCTCTCTCTCTCTCTCTCGGTCAAATTGACCGTTTGGTCAGATGGTGACGTGTCCACTTTGGGACCTACCTCCAAACTAATTGACCATTCTCGTTTAAAAAATAAGAATTTAAAATCAATTACATAAAATGATAAAATTACATTTTAAAAAAATTGCTTTTTTTAAACACACTTCCTATTAAAAATAAGAATTTAAAATCAATTATATAAAATGATAAAATTACATAAAAAAATATAAAAAAAGCTTTAAAAAAAAACGACATTTCACACCAAGGAGGTTTGGGGTGGTTTTTTATATATAGGTCACGAAGTTTCAATTTCATCAATTTACACTCCAACATTATTAAAAATGACCAATTTACACCATTTGTTAAGTTGGCCGTCAAGTAAGATGTTAATTGATGATGTGGAGACTATGAGGCACACCTCATAAATTCATCGACCAGCCTCCTTTAAAAAAAGTAAAACTAAAAATCTATTATATAAAATAATAAAGTAACATATATAAAAAAGTTAAAAGAATAAAAACATCCTACCCAACAGCACCATCCCCCTAGCCCCCATCTGCTAGAGATTAGTATTAGAGCGACACGACTACGGTTCTCCAATCATTACTTGAAATTTGTGTAATTACAACCTTGTAAGGAAGAATTCTTGAATTCCATTTTTCTTATATATGGACCTTAGGTGAGACTCCATATTGTACAGAGCAGTATCTGGTCCTCAAACAATGCTGCCGTTAGCCACAAGAATGGGCTTTGGCCGCCTCACACAAATACACCAATTACCCAGTTGGGTCATGGGTCGTGGGTTAATATGTCATGGTGGGTCATGAGTCAAAGTGTCCTTACTTGGTGCCTGAATGGTTTTCTTTCACATTTAATTCTAGGCTTAATTTCAGTTTGGTATCCTCCAGTTTTACCTCTAAGGCATATTTGTCCATGCATTTTCAATTTAACAATGAGGTACCCTGACATTGAAAATTTGTTGTAATGTGGTTTTGCCGTTAGAATGATTGTCATAAAATCCGTTAAGTAATGACTTGCCATTTGTGAGGTCTATTTGATGAAATTCAAGAAAATGAAGGAGGAATTTCTGTCAGACACACTTACTGTGCAGTGTGCAGAGCAAAACTGATTTTATTATAAATCAATTCAGTTTCTAATCGAGTGAAAACTCAAGTAACAATTTTACAATCCTACATATACAACAAATCAACTCAGTTTGAGTTTTAACTACAAATTTGAGTTTATATGGGCTGTGATCAATTTGCTCACTTACAACAGTGTGCTCTCAGTTAGCTTAGCATTGATGTTCAGTTCTGCGGTGAGTTGGTGATTGGTAATATTAACCGTTTGTGTAAATTGTAATTGTAAGTTTTATTTTTTCTAAGGACATTGCCTGAGTTAAAATCCAATCTTTGTCCCTTGGTTTTCAAGTAAGAAAAAGAATTGCTGCCTATTTAATTACCTGACCAAAAGTAAGTATTTTCTCTAGATAATTTGTGTTTGAACTGTTTTGGTCTCATTTGTGTGGAATCATTTCCTTTTAGTCACAGCATAGCTGCGAGACAGGTCTTTGTTAAATAGAAATTAAGATTTGAAACCTTGTGATGAAGCACAGAGTTATGAAAGGTCAGGATTTGCCAGGAACACTCCCAAAAGAGATGGCCAGGCTCACCTATCTCAAAGAAATGTAAGCACGTTGTTACCTTACATGTATGTCTGTTGTCAATGAGAAAATGACTCATTTCTTTCTTTCTCCTGCAGTATCCTCAGCCGCAACTACCTGAGTGGTCCCATCCCTCCAGAATGGGGCTCCCTTCCACTTGTCCACATGTACCGTCTTTTTTCGCTATGCACACATGACTTCAATATTCTTTAGCCATTTCGTTCTTAAACTATAAATCTACTACATGGATTTTGTTCATATTCATGGCCTTTGAGTGGCCATGAGCCATTTGAATCATAAATGTTGAATCTAACATATTTGTTGCATTCATCTTGATGGCCAAACACATGAGTTTTGTTGCAGTTCCCTTGTTGCAAACCGTTTGACCGGTTCTATCCCCAAAGAGATTGGAAACATCACAACCTTGAAGAGTTTGTGAGTGTTGATTACGCATTTGTTTCTTCTTTCCCCCACTTGATTTTATGGAGATCCTTAATGATATTGCTTTGTGTAGGGACATCAGTATGAATAATTTCTATGGAAGGCTCCCTCGGCAGCTTGGGAATTTTCCCCTCATAGAAAGAATGTAAGATTCTCCTATTTCGAATTTTGTCATGATAAAAGAATATTTGGTTTATTATATGGAATAGCTTTGCTGTATCTTTAATATAATTGTTATGTCTCCTTCATGGTTAGGCTTCTTACCTCAAATAATTTTACTGGGGAGTTGCCAGATACATTTGGAGATCTTACCACACTAAAAGACTTGTAAGCTTCTATTGTTCTTTTTTCTTAAAGGTTTCCTGAGCACCCAAATACCGCATTATAGGAATAATTGGTACTGTTTTCCTTTTGCCAATCATTATGCAGCCGGGTGGGTGACAGTCACTTTTCTGGGCAAATACCTGATTTTATAAAGAACTGGACAAATCTTGAGATACTGTGAGTTTTTGTTGTTGTTGTAGTTGTCGTTGTTATCTTTGCTGCTACTTGATTCTGAATATTATCACTAATTCAAATGTTATGACTTGTTAAAACAGACGGATTCAGGCTAGTGGTTTGACGGGGCCAATTCCTAACATTTCTCTTTTGACAAAATTAACTGGCTTGTTAGTATGGATTTTGATTTTGTATCTTCTTATAAATACAAACAGATTACCGATTCTGTAATCTATGTTCATTGCTCGATTTTAACATGCAGGAGAATTACTGACTTGAGTGGGCCTGAAGCACCATTTCCCCCACTTGAGAAGATGAAAGACATGAAGAACCTGTGAGTTAATGGTTCCATGACACACAATTTTTGTCTGTAGCAGAAGTCTTTTGCAAACTCAAAATTTTAGAGCTTCTGTTACAGGATGTTGAGGAGTTGCAATATTGTTGGACCGCTACCTACATATCTCGGGGACCTGACGAAGTTGAAAACTTTGTTAGTACAAATGTCCCTGTTTTTTTTTCTTTTTTTCTTTCTGTCTTCATATAAATAAATTATCTTCTTTCTAGATACTATTCTAATAACTCAAGGATTATTAAATGACTTTGACGATGTTGGAGGGATCCTATTTTAAGTAATCAACGTAATCACAAACATGTAGGCATACACAAAAGCAGATCCTGGCATAGATTTTACACTTACCTTATCCCTGGAGTGATTTTATTATTATTGTTAATTTAAATAACGGTTTCCTCTGGGCTAGCATATCTGAAATGCATTTGTTATTGATTTGTGCAGAGACCTCAGCTTTAACAAGCTAAACGGGACAATTCCAAGCAACTTTGATGCTCTAGCCTACGTGGATAATATGTAAGCAATTCGAATAACAAATTTTGACTTTCTTACAAGAAAACCCAAGCAGACATTCTTCAATGGTTTTGTCACACCCCAGCCCTACAAGCTGGACGTGTTAATCCTGCTTACCATTCTGGCATTCTAGTAATTCATTGCTTTTGTTTATACCCCTTTCTAGTAATTTATGCCGTTTTTCCTGTACCGATTATGTTTAGATTCTTAACTGGAAACTTGCTGACTGGACCCGTGCCTACTTGGACGAAAAACAATGTGTAAGCTTCTCTTCCAAAGTCTAATATTTAGTTATTTAGTAAGGAGATTTATGCTGTCTATTACTGAATAAAGCATAGTGCATTCGTTATGACATGACTTTTCATATATATGGAGCTTGACATACAATTATACTCATGAAATAGGCATTGATACACATTCTTTAAAAGTATCCTAAAATGTTTCCTAAGTTTATGATGACAAGACCCGCCCCAAATTCCTCGGAACCCGAGACGAGTCCTGTGGAAGTTTCGACATCACTCCGATGCCGGGCCCACTTACTAAGAACCGAGACTTTCTGCCGAAAATTTCGGCAGAGTCTCCCTTGTAAATTTGGCTTTCCCCAAATTTTTCAACCTGTTAAAAACACATTTTTAAAACACCAACAGGCAGCATGCACAAGTTAACAACATACAATTGCATAAGAGGCCTCCGGCATTCAAATAATTCAAAATAGAACCAGCAATGTTCTTAAGTCGAATAATACAAAAACAATACAATTAATGATCTCAAACAACTATACGAATACCACCAAAAACATTAAACCGAATTGAAATCCAATAACCACATCAAAATCCATTCACATACTCAGAATCGATCAAACCTTTTAAACATAGTATATTTTGTGGCTGCACCTAGGTGAGACCCTAGGCTACCTACGTACCCTTGGATGAGGAATCAAGCCACACGTAGTTCTTTTTCGACAAATCACGATTTCAGATGATATGCGATTATTTAAAGCAGAACCAACGATACATTTCAAACTCATCCACAACTTCAAATCCGACAAAACACATTGAACACATTATCAATTTCTTCCCTTATATCCGTTCAACCCCGCAACCATACCCTATCCAAGGTGTATGTTGCCGAACAACACTTTCCAATCCACGACTTAAACATTCATACATGTACAGGGTACTTACAAAGCACAAACTCACGAATCTCAACCCAGAATCGAATCCACATATACATATATGTAATAGGTATGTCTATAAATGAATAAATATATATAAATACACCCACCTCTCACCATCATCATGTACCAGGGGACAACAATCCAATCTGGGGATCGTTTAACTAGACCACATGGAGGAATCCTCAACACCCATGTGACTAGGGAACGAGCCGTCCAACCGGGGGACTAACTCTCAGCCAGCACGTACGGACGAATCCTCAATACCCGTATGCCTGTAAACAATCCTACGTGCGCAGACTACCCAATCAAGGGTCTACAGCGACACCCCTTTAAGGATGCCCCAGGTTCCGTCACATCCAAACCATATCCACAATTTCCATATCCATGTATCCATTTCCACTGTTTCCAAGTACCCATTTCCACTGTTTCCAAGTATCATTATTCAAGGGGAGGTACATATGATGATGCACATCATGTATTGGGGAAAACCAACCGGGGATCGTTTGACTAGTCCACATGGAAGAATCCTCAATTGACCATGTGGCTAGGGAACAAGTGGTCCAACCAGGGGACTAACTCTCAGCCAGCACATACAGATGAATCCTCAAGACCCGTACGCTTGTAACAGCCCTACACGCACAGACTACCCAATCAAGAGTCAACAGCGACACCCCGTTAAGGATGCCCCGGGTTCCGACATATCCACGTATCCATATCCATGTATCCAAGTATCCATTTCCACTATTTCCACGTATCTGTATCCATGGGGAGGTATATGTGATGGCGGAGTTCATAACCCTTATATAAATATTATAAAAATAATATTCCCTTTCTTAATTCAATTTTCCCAAAATAACTATTCATAGTATAGACAATAATTCTCAAGCATATAATCCATAACCGGGGAGGTACCTAAGGTTGTGCTAATAGCACTCAAATTAACATTCTAATCTCACAATTTAGCGATCTACTTACAAATATATATATATATATATATATATATATATATATATATATATATATATATATATATATATATATATATATATATATATATATATATATATATATATATATATATATATATATATATATATATATATATATATATATATTCATTCCATGATCATATAAATCCATGGTAGATTTCATGGTAATTTAATCAATGAGAATAATATTATTTTAAACCAACAAGCATTCACATGAGCATAAGTTTCATAAAAATCCTAAAACAATTTAAATAAAAACAGCAACACTTGTTTTCACATAAATTCCACATTAAAAGAACTAAACACTCTTAAAGACAAACGTCCACTTAAATACTAATACTCAAAGCCGAGACCCTAGACTTGCTTTCAAAACCCATCGATCAAGTGTATCATACTCAACAATTCCACAACTTCAATTATCAAACTAATAATCTAAAAATTTAAATGATATTATAGAACCATCTCAAAAACCCGACATAGTCAACAAAACTCAAATAACAATTAAGACTCGTTTACAAAGTCATCCTAATACTTTTCGAAGGGTGAAACTATCTCGGAAGACTTACAGTCAACCGAGGGTCAAACCTTTCAAATTTGGTCAACCGAGCTCGCGGGGCCCATGACCTCTGTTTTACGATCCGAAAGTTCCTATGGGTTCCACAAGGTCTAGGATACACGTCCTGCAAGTTTGGTCCGGATCGGATGGTCGGATCGCTCGCGATCGCACGATCGGACGGTTATCATAAAACGCAAACTTTAACTTATTGAATCGGAACATCCGGGGCTCTGATTCACGATCCGCGAATTCTTACACGATCCTAGGAAGGTCTAGATCAACATATATTAAATTGGAAGCGATCCAACGGTTCGAACATATCGAACCCAGAAATCGCACAATAGGCAAAATCCGTTCGGGGTTCAAACGTTATCCGAATTGGAATCCGAAAGTACCTACGCTAATGAGAACCAGGAGATCATTTTAGGACAGAGAGTGGCCCCAACTACCTTGCCCACGCGCCGGCCACGAGCCGGCAGCGCGTGGTGTCTATATAAAATTCCGGCGGCCGGAAAAACTTCAAACCGCCGGCCAAGCTTCCTACCCTAGGTATAAAACCTCATTTGGAGTCACTTTTGTTCTTGAACCTACCCCGAAAAATGAGCGAAAGTGGCCGGAATCGCAATCCCAAAACCGGCCGAAATCCAATTTGAAAATCAGATTACCTACGCTAGAAATTGCTCAATTCCTGCCCAACCATCAGCTAGAGCATAAAAAATAGGTCGAAAAGCATACCTTACTCGACCGGTTTAGTGGCCGGAGGAGGGAGAAACCACCGGTGAAAAATCTGTTAAAAATGGGTCACAATCGGTTGGATTTTTGCGTTTTCCGGCCATCTCCGGTGGTTCCAGCAGCTGAGGTTGGTCGGGATGGAAAGAGGGAAGTGAGCTTGACGTTTTGGTACCAATATCATTCGATTTGGTGGTCAGTGGAGGTGGAGGTGGAGGTGGTGGCGAAGCAAAAACTGTTCGGATGAACAGTAACATGGGAGGGGGAGAAGTGCAGCATGGGAGAGAGGGAGGAAGAAGATAAATAGAACCCGGGGGGCTGTAGCACTCGGTACTGTAGCGACACTGTTGCTACAGTAACACTTGAAAATTCCCATTACGTCCTTTCTGTTTCTAGACCTTTTCTCATTCGTTACAACTCGGAATCGGGCGTGCCGCATGTCTACGAACTCGTATCATCGAGCTCTACGCAATGGTACCACCCATATTCCCAAATTCTTTTCCCAAACTTAAAATGACCTTTTTGCCCTTTAGTATTAATTAATATTTCAATTTATTTTCTCATTTAAACTTATTTCCTCTTATTTTAATTATTTAATCTTTCCCGAATAAAAAGTCAACTCTTAAATCATTTAAATATTCCCGGGGTAAAATTGTTTTTTTCTTGAATAATTTAATATTTAACTATTAATTTAGGACCGGGTTGTTACAATGACTCCTATGCTTTTTCAAGGTTTCCCTCATCTCTCCAAAACAATTTTTGCATATAGTGGTAGACCAGCCACGCTATATGGGACGAAACTCTAGGCACTTAGAAAACAACATGTTCATAAAATGAGTGTGGTGGGAATGAGAATGTCAAGAAGATGGATGTGTGGGAAGACAAGGAAGGATAGGATTCGACATATTCAACAATGTTTAGTAGATGCATAAGTTGGAGAGATTGACCTAATCAACATAGAAGATAATTAAATGATGGCCACCCCTTGTCTTGGGGTGGACCTTAATCATCTTGGTATACTATATGTTATGAGATGCGGGTAGCTTGACCAAATTCAGTACGAGGAAATTTTAAGGTGAACTTGGCTTAACGTGGACAGTTGTGAGAGCTTAGGCACCTATGATTATGAATACTGCAAGTAGCTAATATTTTTCTTCTCATGAAGTTTGGTTGATTGATTTAATATTGGATTTTCAGAATTAAATCTTGCCAGAATTGATATAAACTATGATTTCAAAACTTCAGTCCAACCATGTTAATACCTACCTCTTGCTCCTCATTTTATTTTCTGTTCTCATACTGCATTTGGAAAGGAATTTACGTAACAGCCCTTTTTGTGCAGTGATCTTTCATATAATAACTTCACCATAGGGAACAAAGGTTGTCAATCACAAGGCGGCTTGTAAGAATGTTTTCATTAGCGTGAGTTTACTTTGTTTGTGTCTTGTAGAGCAAACTTAAATTTTCAATTCGTGTTAATTTCTACAGGAACTTGTTTGCAAGCTTTTCAGAGGCCAATAGTTCGTAAGTTACAAATTAATCCTCTGAAAGCATATGCATAGATAAATTTACTTGGCATTCCAACTGAGTATTCTTATTTTATTTTACAACTTATTTTCATTTATGATGTTATTTTGCTGACTTCTTCTGGATCCTGCTGCATTAATCCTACCAGAAAAACTGTTTCATGCACAACTGCAAAATGTCAAAAACGTAAGTTGGGTTTCCACATATTGCTTCAAGATATATTTATTTATCGTTGAATTTTTTTTTTTTTTTTTTTGGGGAGCTATGATCCAAAAGGAAAAGTACGATGTGAAAGAAGACCATTATACACTTGCCTCAATCCATCATGAACCTGCATGTGTAGTCATTCATCGTACCTCTGAATCTTCTAATGCCAAAATGGAATAATAGAAATAATTGCCAAAATGTATTCTTTTTTGTTTTCCTCCTCGATGGCCACTAATCTTTTGCTTTCTGTTGTAGCTTTGTACTCTCTCCATATAAATTGTGGTGGAAAAGAAGTAACTGTTTTTGGGGAAAAAAATACAACATTTAATGGTGACACATATTTGGTTGGACCTTCATCGTTTCGCCATAGCACAACAACAAATTGGGCTTTAAGCAGCACTGGTTACTTTCCTGATGATGGCCATTCTCAAGACGACTTTATCCAAAATAATGAATCTATACTCTCCATGCCCAATCCACAACTGTACACGGAAGCACGCCTTTCTCCCATCTCTCTAACTTATTATGGGTTTTGTCTGGGAAATGGAAACTACACTGTAAACCTCCATTTTGCAGAGACAGAGTTTACAAATAACAAATCATATAGAAGCCTGGGAAGGCGTATATTTGATGTTTACATTCAGGTAAAGGTCAACAGACACTGTTCAGTTCCTGGTTAATTCAAATGTTTATGAATTTCTAGTAATAACATGTAAAATAGGTTGCAGTCAAGGCTGAAAAAATAGACCACATTACAATCATGAAATGTTAAGTAACTACATTAGCATATTTCAGGGGATACAACGGCTGAAGGATTTCAATATTGCGGATGAAGCTGGTGGGGTTGGTAAGGCAGTCATAAAGAACTTTAATGCTTCTGTAACTAGTGGTACCTTGGAGATCCGTTTCTATTGGGCTGGGAAAGGGACGACCGGTATCCCTCTTAGAGCAGTTTATGGTCCTCTTATATCAGCTATTTCTGTAGATCCTAGTAAGTTTACACTGTTCTGAGCTTCTTCTAATTACTATTTGTAGACCATTGCGAGTTTCTCATATGTAAATATCATGTTAGACATTAATATTACAACACAATTAATGTCTTATCTTTTACATTCGCATGTTAGACCATTGCGAGATCCGGCTTTAGGTAGCTGTTTGAATAATGCGCTCTCTTATCTATTACATTCGCATTTACTCTAATAAACCTACTCTTCTTCCGGCAGACTTTGTACCCCCACCAGAACCTGCAACATCACCTCCATCTGGTGGAAGTGGCATATATGTAGGTGCTGTAGTTGGAATTGTGGCGGGAGGAGTCTTCATTATATTACTGATTTTTGGTATTCTTTGGAGGAGAGGCCTCCTAGGACAACAAAATACTTCGGAGGATGGTACGTACAGTTTTTGCTGTTATTTTTTATGTACTTTTCGTGTATATTTAGGCTCACTCAGTAAGTTGATATTTATTTAGATATTGAACTTTCGTGTATATTTTGCTGTTTGAATATATTATACTGTTGAAACCTTTTATGCAAAGTCTGCCTACCTATAGATCCAGTTACTTGTTAAATTCTAGGCCTTGAATCAGTCGCATGATATTAAGAAATAAAAATGCTACCATTATGAAATACGTGTAGACACAATTTCTTATATGAGTTTGCTTCTTACACAGATTTAAAGGGCGTGGACCTGCAAACTGGTAAATTTAGCTTCAGGCAACTCAAAGCTGCCACAAACAACTTTGACAAAGCCAATTGTTGAGGCCCCAAAAAGTCACGAGAAGCCCAAAGACATTTAAAGCCCAATATAACATATAATGTTGGTCATGCGTTAATCCAAGCTGTATTTTGGGAATTAATTCATTAAACAAATAATAGTGTTCATGCCATGCGAAGCCAATAATACATTTTTCATATGTCAATCACCTATCAAGCTTACATGAACCTAAGTCATGTGGTTTACGTGGCTTGCACGAGGGATTGTGGTGTGGAAGGTTATAGAAGTCCACAAGGCCCACGGAAGCTCTTGAATAATAGAGACTTTGGACTAGCTACTTGGGAGCACCAAAGTCCAAGCCCATTACTTAGAGTTCTCCAATGTGGGTAAGCAAATGAGATATTTTCCAAGCATTTCCTTTTATCTATAGGAAATAGTCATTTTCCAAATGCCTAACTTTACCCGTTGGAAATAAGCCTCACTACTACAATTATGTTAAACAACGACACCCAATGGACGACCGTTTATATAAAAACTGTCGTGGTGTTTTAAAAGACAACGAGTGTTATAATACCGTCGTGATAAGGTGCCTAATACGCTGATGCGTTGGGTTAATTTATAAAGTTACGACGATACCTTATTAGAACCGTCGTATTTTTAGGAGGCGCTAAACAAAATTTAACTTTTAAGTTCGCGAGCGCAGAGCTTTTCAGAAAACCCACGCTCTCTCAAACACTGTACTACATCACGACCTTTCAGAAAACCCTTTCTCACATCTATGAAGCACATCTCCCTTGCGCCGTCCACCGAACTTGCCTTGATCGCCATCTCCGTCGAGCCGTTCAGGTCACCGAGCTCGACGCGTTCGCCATCTCCCTCGCGCTGCCCATGGAAGCTACCCTTCCTCATCACGACCATTTTTAAGCCCCCATCTGGATTCCCATCTTCCATTTCATAAGCTTTTAGATTAGATCTTCTTTCTCGTGGACCAGAAAGGTACGAAGCTACTTTTCTAGGAGTTAGCTTAGGCTTCTCCTGATTTGTTGTCTAAAATTTGATGCAAATTTTCATGATTTTTTGTTTGCAGCGAGTATATTTTGAATCCTTCAGTTCCCATGGATCTCAGACTCTCCGGGATTCTCATGGGTAGCCAAACTCTCTCTCTCTCTCTCTCTCTCTCTCTCTCTCTCTCTATGTATTCTCTTCGTGTTGTGTGTGCGGCTGCAGTCATTGGGTTGCTAATTTCGGTCATTATCAAAAGAGCAAGGCAAGGCAGAGGAACAGAGAAGATAAATTTAACATATCCATGGTTGAGAAAATTTCCATTCGAAGCTCCCCAAAGCCTAACATCAATGCAAGTAAGGCCCTCTTTGTTTCCCTAATTCCTTTGAAAGTCTCTAATTTTAATGACTGAAAAAAAAAAAATAGAAAACAAAGATGCATGCTTTATGGTTTTTAGTTCGTGAAGCATTGAAGCTGATTATATTGATTGGGATTTTTCAGGGCGTGTGCCCCATATGATGAGTTTACCAACACTTGGGCTCCCACCATATCGTGTATTTACGTAAATACACGATATGGTGGAAGACAACTGCTCGAGGCCAATTGCTTCGAAGTTGAAGGCTCAGTGACAGTTCCCAAGGTGCGATTTTCAAAAGCCCTAACCTCCATGCTTGATACAAAGTTTTCATATCAGTTTAGGATTGATTTGAATTCTAGATGTCCGTAGCTTGCTTTTATTGTGGATTCTATGTGAATGTTTGATTTTATTTGATTGAATCCAAGATTCTACTTGTATTTCTGATTTTATTTGATTGAATGGGTTCTAGTTGTGCGTTAGAATTTAGAAATTTGTATTTTTTTTAATTTTCAGAGAGTAATTTTGATTATGTGAAAATTTCTCCTCATGGTTACCGAAAAAGAGAAATTATCCTTCCAACTTATGTCAGAGTGTAATTGTTATCTTCAACTCAAATTTGGGGATTATCGGTAGCTTAAGAATACAACACTTCAACCATAATGTTCCTGGGTAGGCGCTTCAATCATCGGTTTGTATTGGGTGGGCAGGTGTGCTGGAATTTTAGTTCTTGCTTGAAATTTTAATTTGATATCTTATTCGAATTGGGATGTGATGAGTAAATAAGGTATTATGTGTTTGGATACTGAGAAAAGTCTA